ACGTGCTGCTGCTGCTGTTGCTCTGGAGGCGAGGAGGAGGCGCGACGTGTGCACAAACGGAAGACATGTGTCCCGGACCGTCCGGGTCACGGGACATCATGTCATTTTGGTGGGGACTTTTTAGTCCTCACCAAATATTGGTGGGGACATGTCCCCATGGTCCCCACGCAAACCTACGCCCTTGGTGAGATCTCTCAAGAGTAGAGAGGAGGACTTTCAGCAACTTAAGAGTTCCCTAAGAGGAAAAAACGGTGAATGGAAGAGACAGGAGAGATATTCTACAAACGCTGGATGGCGTTAGTGAAACTCTACAGATTTGATCGTGCAGGAATCATGTTTGTGGTATAACTGAAAGTCAATCATGTAACCACAGCTGGTCCATTCTACCCTTGTTACACGAAAGTAAGCAAAAATGGTAAAAGTTAAAAGAGAAAAAATGACCAGCATGGCAATTAATATAAGCAAGTAAATAGAACTATCACAGTGATATGTGTGATAAGTGTGTTAATACTGTGCAAGTTTTCACACATTCAGTATGAATGAATGAATACTTTATTTCGAGCCAACAAGAACGAAGGACAACAACAGAATGAAAAGTTTTGTTTTATTGTCAACAATCCAGCTCGAAAAGGAGTGGGAAGAAGTTAAGACTTTTAAACTCCCATCCCCTATTTATTATTCTAAATTAATTTAAATGATGTGGTTTGCTACAACTTAGATTATTCAGTGATATATTTACAGTTATGCAGCAGTGACATTCACAATAATATGCACTTGATTTGTTATATTATGATTTGTTGATTTATATTAATATATATATTATATTAATACAGTGTCACAGCTTTACTAATCAAAAGGCTATCATCACCATATATCCATCTATTATTCAACATAATAATTCTCTCTATCATGTACACTGTAAATAATGATTAAATAGAATTATGAATTATATATATGTATATAATCAATATAATAAGTGCTTATGTTATAAGTGAGTTAAATGTGATAATTGGTGCTGAACAAGCTTTGATGGAGTGGTGTAAAAGTAACTTTCTATTCACAGCATTCATTTGACTTTGATATATCTGACTTTCTAACTTTTCTGAATATTATTTACAATGATATTCAGACTATGTGTGTTTTAACTCTGTTCTGTTATTTTTAAAACTTTTCTTTAATTATTCTTAGCTATGGATCCTGTGCTTGCATGTGAGTCCTTAATAAAGTATAAATAAAAAAAAAAAAAATAAATGACACAGGGCGACAGAGGCTCAGTTGGTAGAGCATTGGCCTTTGGGCCTGAAGGTCGTGGGTTCGAGCCCACCACAAGACCTACTTCACGACTCACACTGATGACTGCTGTTGTTGTGTCCTTGGGCAAGACACTTAACCCACTTTGCCTGAAGCCCCCTCTGAAAGATCAACGCTCCTGTGGACTCACCACCTGCAGGAGGTTCAGTGAGGGGCTGGTGCTCTGTGGACTGGGTGCAGCTCTGATTGCCACCCCCCGATCCAGAAATGGATTAAGGGGAAGAAAATGGATGGATGTCACAGTCTTCCTAAGACTAGATTCCATGATTAAGTTTTGTCCATTTGAGGATCCCTATTTTGCCCATTATCACCAAAATTAACCAATCACAGCGTCTGAAATGATGACTCATATCTAGCAACGGGGTCGACCACGCCTCCTCACTAAGACAGGAGTTTTTGTCTATTCCTTGCTCAGAGTTCTCTGAGAATGTTCTGGAATAACTTTTAAGCTAAGACTCCTTGCCAGGAGTTTTTAGGTTAAGTTAGGATCTCTCTCTCTGAACATTTGAAGTCAGGTTGTCCCATTGAACATGTGCTATTTGTTAATTAAATGCAGTAAGCCAAGAGTTGTTCATTGATTTATGAAAAAACAAATGTAAACACACACAATAGGAAAACACATTATCTGCTGGAGTCATTTTGGACATGATCTGTGTTGCACAGCAGAGGCATTGCACTCTGCACTGCACATGCAATGCAACTACAATGCACCACAGCTCCAGCCTGCTGTCTCTCACTGTCTGGTCCTTCTGCTGATTGTACAGTGTGATGAAGATGAAGCGCCAGCAGCTCCTCATCACTGCTCTGTCCAGGATTCACCACCAGGGTGCTCTGTTTGTCAGATGCAGAGTCCTCTGATAAAAAAGGAAAACACAAAAATACAGAACACATGTAAATAAATATAGTTTAGGATTCAGATAAAACTGCTCAAAAAGGAAGTGAATACACAGAGTTAAAGAAAACATACTCATAGTCTGGCTTTTTGCAGCTGATCAAGAACACTTTAAGACAAAAAGGACACCATACACAGGAGTGGGTCAGGAGAACTCGTAAATGACAGGATTTAATGTGTGCTTTCATCTCATTTCATTAATGAACATTTTAAACAACGTAGAAAATACATTACCTTTGGAACAGCATCCATTATTCACCTGTAGCCGTGTTTTACCCAAGAAAGAGTGAAGAATAGTGAAGATCTCATTGATTTGCAGGAACAGCAGCAGAAACAGCAGCAGCAACAGCAGCAGCAGCGCATGTGGCAACAAATGGTGGTCTGCACAGTCTGCATCAGTGGGAGCCGTGTACAGTGGAACACACCCCTCTTCTGTTTGACCGGGAAAATGCTCCAGTGACTGAGGCAGAATGAGGGGCCATGTTTTGGTATGAGGCGATCCCACACAGCCAATAGGGAGGCCCTCAGAGGGGCCCGGGGCCTCTCAGTGAATGGCGCGCAGAGCCAAAGGTAAAAAGAGGAGGGTTACTATAGGTCACCTCTGCTCATTCTGCTCTGAGGGGTGTCCTGGGGAATATGCAAAGGAGGAAGGCATGACTACAAATACAACATGGTACATACAGCCACAAAAATAATACTTTTCAAGAATATATTTACCACAAGATGTATTGATTATTACAGTTCTGGGCTATGCTTTTGTGTGTTGAGTAATTATAGCAAGAGTATATTTAAAGGTGCATTCCTTTAATCTGTCCTGGTGGCATGCAGGTCCACTATTTGCTTGGGTAGATTAAATGTTGTAGTGTCTGGATAGTTATACAGTTTGTAATTAAACTGTCCTTTTACATTGGAAAAAAGCACATGATGTGATTAGTTACAAGTGATATCTGTGTAGAAGTCTTCTCACCATTCAAAATCCATCTATAAATGAGGGGTTACATATTTTAAACCAAACTACTTTAAGCAAAGTAACAACACAACACAAGGATTTTTACAAAGTAACTTTGCCCTGTAAAGACTGGACAGGACACCTCTGCATCACACACTGCTAATGTTTTATTAGAGGTCATGCATGTCAAACAGAAAAATGAAGTTGAAAAGTAGCAGTCGCGCAGCCTCCTCTGGGCAGCTCTCTTCGTAGTGTGTCCAGTCAGACGGATTTGAGATGACAACAAACAGTGGCAGAACAGATCTTTGAGGAACAAGTCACTGACAGCACACACTCAATGAACTCGGTACTAACAGTTACCACAACATGTGACCAAAGGCTTTTTACCCAGGGGTACACACACATATCGAACACCAAAACAAAGAAACAGAATCAGGATCCTCTTGTGCAATACAAATGCTTTGTCAAAATGTATGGTTTTTTTTTGTCACGTACAGTCAGTCCACACAGTTGGGTCTCAAAAGGTTTCTTCATGTCAATAAAGTTGGTGCTACAGAGCTTTAAATTCTCTTCAAATCAGAATGTTTACTATACGGTCATTGAAAGTACCGGTCAGTACCGGAAAGTAGGGTCACCCACACTAGCACTAACAATAGTCAGCAGCAATGTATAAAAACACTAAATGATTTCTCTCTTCCATACGTTTTATACAAGAAAAGTTTCAAAATACAGAAAAAGCACAGAACAAGTCATTTCTGTACATTTTTCTCAATATTTTTATAATTTCTCAGTAATTACAACCGGTGCAGCAGATTTACAGAATGGGAAAGGCCAGTGTCAAAAGTGCACACTCGTTTGAAGCTCGCTGCGTTTGTTATTATTGTAAGGAGTAAAATGTCTTATTTGTCGTTCTGTCTACGCCAAGCTCATTTCTGCAAACAAATGTCATGTTTGAAAAGGTCGCGCCTTCCCAGATGTCAGCGCAGGGAAATAAAGAGAATTATGTGCAAACAGCTTTTTCTGTAGTGAGGCTGTCATCTAAATAATCCATGAATATAATGTTTTGTTGGTCAAAAGCAGCTCTTTATGTACAAACCAATTACTATCTCACACACACACACACACACACACACCCTCTCAGCAACATGTTTGGTCCACGAAAAACATTCAAAAACACAACAATACATCGTATTCCCCTTTTTAAAATAAAACAACTAATTTATATTGTAATACAAGACTAAAATAGTGTTCTTCAGCACAAAGTTAAGACCTGCCAAACCAATTTCAGCAAAATAACTGCAGCTTGTCAACATTTTTAATAAGTACGACCAAAGAAATTAAAAATATATAAATTCCCTTTCGTTCACTGGTTTTGAATTTACGCCCTTTTGCTATGAGGTACTCCCCTATGGTCAAAGCAGTTTGAACATAAGCCTGCTCTTAAAACAAAAACACATAAATCTTAAATATACATATAACTCATACTTGACATTTGCCATTTACAGATGTACAATTATATTAAGGGACCAAAACGCAAATAAATGTGTTTAACTGCTATTTTGGATCAGATGTCGACGCATGCTTGGGTGATAAACAAATAAATATCTTCCCATTTTCTTTAAGAAATCTACTTTTTCTAGGATTAGCTGCAACAAGAAGCTCTGCAGTCCAGCGACCGTCCGGGTTCCCCCCTCTCCCTCATCCTCAGAAGGCTCCAGTGGGATTTCCTCTGTCAGTGTGTGACTGTGGTGTGGCGGGAGGAGGCGGGAGGAGGTGGGAGGAGGAGGGTGTTGACTCCACGTCTGGTTGGGCGATGCGTTAGTCGGCGTGCAGGGGGGACAGACCAGTCTACATGGCGAACAGCGAGTCCTCGGGCCGCTCTGCTTTCTTGCGGCTGGGGGTGCCCTGCTTTGCGCCCGGTTCCCCACGAGGCGGCGATGGCAGCTCAGGGACCGTCTCCGCAGCTTTGGCTCGCTCCTCCAGGAACTTGTCAAACTCTGTGAAAGTAAATGCAGTCAATGTGAATTTATATTTTTATGTATATATATATATATTTATATATATATATTTTTTTTTCCCAGTAAAAAGTGAGGATTTGAAACGCTTACCTTCACTTGTCACACCTTCATCACCCTCGTCTCCTTGCTGTGAAAATGGAACGTTTAGGATTACATGAACAATAATCCAATTATAAGAGTCACCCAGACTACGTGTTGTAATTATTGTAATGTTGAAATAAGATGCATGTGGTAGTAATAAAGTCCTGTGATTTATACATTTTATGAAGCCCAATTAGAAGACATTTAATAATAATTAAGTAGAAAGAGGAATGACTTTGTCCCAATCCCACTCTCCGGCAGACACTTATCCTGCCATAGGATACAAAATATCCTATGGCAGGATATAGAGGATTTTCTTTTTCCGGGTGGATCATCAAAACTATTGGGCCTCCTAATTTACAATCATTCTGGTGATAGGTGCTTGACAAATAAAATCAAAGTTATTTCAAAAAGTGGAGAGGGCAGTTCTTTCCTAAAATTTGAGAAAATCTTCCTATATACCTTTAAGCCTTAAACTACCACATACAAGTTAAACAGTCTAAAACGCAAGAGGCGGTTTTCAAATTCACAAACTCACAGATAATTTCATTCTTACACAGAAACTAAGTAGGGCTGAAACGATTATCAAGTTAAAGAAGCTATACCCAATTTTTTTTTTTTTTATGAGTTCATAAAAATGCTTATTACTACTCATTGATTCAGCTTTGTATGAATTCAGGCCGTAAAAAGTGCGGAGTAGAAACTTGGCGTGTCCTCTGGAGAGACTCGTCTATGGGAGAGATCTGCGGGACCGAGTCAGACTATCTACGCTCGGACCACATTTGGATGCGGAACTAGCGTTAATCTTTCAGTTATATAATTTGTTAGCAGTGCGTTGTTTTTGTACCATTTCATCAGTGACTGTTGTACAGCTTACGTAAGAAGATGTAAGAAGATGCGCTAATGCTGAGGTTATTAGCATATGTATCAGATCGCAAATAAACCTAGATGGCTCCGTGGAATGAGAGCGTAGGGAAATGAAAAGCCTGTGAGAGTTGAGGGACGGTGCTAAACATTCAAACCTTGCAGAAACGGGTATAGCTCCTTTAATGTCGTATTGATCAGTATTGGTTAATTTATGCAACTACTAAAACATGAATCTGTCACTTATTATTGCTCATTGCAGCTCAGTTAATAGATTACTCGATTAGGTGAAGACAATCAATAGAAAGGATACTCGATTACTAAAATAATTCACAGCTTCAGCCCTAAAATTAAGAGTTTCAAGGCACATTAACATTTGATGCTTGGGTTATGTGTAACTCAGCTTTATTAATGAGACCAAATATCCTTTTCCATACTTTTCAGATGCATGCATTCCAAAAACATCACGCCACCCAAAAAATACTTATAATTATCACAAGAAATAATTGGTGAGTGAATTAGTCAGGAATAATTAACACATTATTAATAAATATAAATGAGGGGGTTAATAGTAATGAAAAACCATGAATGCAAAAGATAAATAAAAATGACGGCGGCTCACCACATCTGTACTCAGCCACTCCTCAATGTCATCCATGACAGAGGACTGGCCCCCGACACCCTAGGGCGCAACATGAAGACCGCAAAGGCAGGACAGAGCGGAAAAGCATCCGAAAACAAAGACATACAAAAACACAACTTAAAGAAATGGAACAAACTCAAATTGAAATCTATGCCAACATTAAACACATGTAAAATAAACAAAGCATGGGGATGAAAGATGAATAAGCAGGAGCAGCATAGAGGGCGCACCTCTCTTCTTGTTTGTGTTGTTCAATCAGGCCCAAACAATGTGTCACAGATATGACTTTAGTTGATTCCATATTAGTGTGTGTAAGAAATTGCCTTAAGTTCACCATGAAAGGTGGCATTATAGAAGCGTTAGGATCAAACTCACCGCTGCAGTGGGCTGTTGGACATTCAGAGTCGGAGGAGCACCTGAGCTCTCAGCTGCTGCTGTGCTGTAAAAACATATTACAAGAGTTATTTGACTCTGTAATAATCAATGAAAAGCATTTTTGTTTCTTGGCTTTAATGGTGAAAACAGAATAATGAACAAAAGCAAGTGTACGTTTCTCGTGGTTCTGGCAGCGCTCCGGTTCTGGTTTGTGCGAACACGTCAAAGTCGTCCTGCGATGGAGCAGGTTTACTGCTGGAGAGAGAACTCAAGGTGCTGCTCACACTGTCTGCCCCCACATCTGTCAGACAGGACATGTTATACACACTAAAATAAGGACGACAAGGATAGACAAATGGATAAGTTTCTTTACCTAGTCCAGCCAGACGAGAGGACAGTGTCGCTGGAGAAGAGGGCATGTTACTGACCACAGCAGGAGAGCCAGGACCCAGGTCTATGAGGTTGTCCTCGGTCGCCTCACTTAGCACCTGAACAAAAACGTCTAATTCATTAGACATGTTGCACAAGAAAACCTATGGCCCAAAGCAAGTCCTTGGCAGGAGCAGCGCAGGGAGTGTTGGGTTACTGCATGAAGCTTGGTTAACTTAAAGGGAGCATGGAATTGGAAAAATATAGGAAGAGAAAATAAACTTTCTTATGGGGATTATTACGAACATGTTGTCAAATTCATCTCAAATTGTTTTAATGTCTGCTATTATCCCCTAAAGAAAGCCAAACTACAAGAGCAAAAGGAAAGGGCTAACTGCTTTTAGAGGCACAGATTGTCATCATTTTGTATATAATGTCAGTCAGAGAAAATATAGAAAAGCCACTGAACAGGTTTTCTGCTGATATTTAAAGCAGCTCCCAGTGCTCCTCGGCGTTGGCGTTTATCATCGACTGACTGAGGGCTGCGAGGTCAAAACATGCCATATGAGAGGGAACGTGTGAATGAAAAGAAACCCATGTTTTTTTGTCATGTTTCTACAGTGGCCAAGGGTGACGGCGCTCCTCTAGCCTTGATGTGGTTCATTCATACTTGCCTGTCTCAGCTAGCCAAGGACAGAGAACGGAAAAGAGCAGAGAGGGACAGACAGTGAACACCATTAGCATGCCTGTGCAGGAACAAAAAACGCAATGGCATGGTAACTATGGAACACCAACATGCTTCATTTAACAGAAAGCCAGCAGGCACTGAGGCAGATTTAACCCTCGAGACAGATCAACACACCATTCATTGAAATGTAACTTGTAATTCTTTACATCTTTAGAATTACAAGTAGCCAATAAGAGGTCACAAGTAAACACAGCAAAACATAACATTTGGATTGGATGGACCATTTACTCATTAAATAGTAATATTAGGGCTTTATTAATATTGTATTTTGTTAATGAATTATTTGATTACTGCTACTAACTTGATGATTGATAAGTGATTTTATCTAAATAAAGTGGAGGCACTGGATGGCATTCTAATAGATACATTTATTTTAGAATTAAATTGAGGCATTTTTGTTAGTTAGAATTACTGCTCTGTTTGAGTCTTATAATCAATGACAGAACTAACACGCACTACTGTACTGCACTGCACTGACCACTACATATTGGATGTAGTATAGAGGTGCAACGGTTCATCACTGATCCGTGATCCGTTCGGTTCAACGTCTTCGGTTCGGTACAGACGTGATCCGCGGTTTGATTTATGAAAAAAAAGTTGTGCGCACGTTGTTCAGTCCACACACAGCGTGGTCACGGCGAGCGGAGGAACGGAGATGCTTGAAAGCCCTGCGTCATTTAAATCCCCAGTATGAGAGCATTTTGGCTTCACTGTAACTACACTGATAATTAATATTCGACAAAACTGTCACGATGTGTAAGCACTGTGGCACAAGAAAGACATGAGTGAAAAAAGCGTCTCAACGACCACCTATTGTCGCGGCATTTAAGCAGCTCCTTTACGCACAGTCAGACCGGGCTAAAGTCAACTCTCCCGCGCATCACAGCTGCGCTCACGACTGACGTTTGGACGTCCCGCGGAACCTATAATAGATCCATGAGCGGAACCGCTCACTTCATCACCGCAGACTGGGAGATGAAAAGTCTGGCGCTGAAGACACGCCCCCTCTACGACAGTCACACAGTCACACAGCTCAGGTACTGACACAAGCAGCGGAGGAATGGAAGACAAAGGCCCAGTACTAATATGCCAGTCACAACTGATAATGCCAAAAATTTAATAAATGCAGTGAATGAGGCTGGGCCCAGAATGGAGCGCCTCCTCGGGAGAATCAGGAAGGTGGTGTAATATATGAGGGTAAATATCCTCATAAAGTGCCTTCTTATGTTGCACTTTGTGTCGTTTTTCATTAATTATGTTAAATAGACATAATTGGATGGATGGAATATGCCTTCCATCCATCCATCCATTTCCTTCCCCTTAATTCATTTCTAGGTCAGGGGGGGCAGTCAGAGCAGGTGCCGAGTCCACATGAGCCGTGTTTATTAAAAAGACAAAACTTTTTTTTAGAAAAATGAACCGAAAAATGAACCGAACCGTGGCCTCTGAACCGAACCGTGATTTTTTCAAACCGTTGCACCCCTAATGTAGTAAATTTAATTTTTCTAATTTTAATTTTTATACCTTAGAAGTTTATGCTGATTTTTATGATGCCTTACTCTATTCTCTACCTCTCTTCTTTGACTTTTGCACCGAGAGCCAAAGCAATGTTCTAGTCTGACTTCCTGTTACTTACATGGCAATAAAAATAATTCTGATTCAGATTCATGTGTAAATAAAGCAGTTAACAAACAATTGATAGTATAATCGTTTTTGATTATTGATAGAAAATCAATCATAGCGATTAATCATTACAGCTAATGTCATATTGTTTTGGTAAATACATATAGTACACCAGGGGTCTCCAACCTGTAGCTCGGGAGCTACCAGTAGCTTTCCACCCCCTTCCAGGTAGCTAGGCAAAGGATTTGGAAATTCAGATTGTATTATTCATTATCATTATTTATTATTGTAAATGCACTTACTTTGTCACTAGTAACAAATATGTGATAATAAATAATGACTGTACATAATATCAGACTTGTTCACACCTATATCCAAATGTTTTTTCCCAGGCACACTAATAAGAGTAGCTCTCTGCTTTTATCGTCCCAGGAAAGTAGCTCTCAGGGTGAAAAAGGTACTACAGGTATTTTTACTACAGAAAAATACCTGTAGTACCACTGCATAAGATATATCTACAATATAGCTTCAATGTTTTTTCTTTAAGCATGAAAACATTGAGAGGCGTTTGAGCGGCTGCAGCAGTGGTGTCATAACAGTGGAGTTAGAGACGTGAAGACTGAACACTCACCCCATTGTTCACGCCCTGAGCGCTGCTCCTCCCACACCGAAACCTCTCGTACCTGCAACACACATTACGTTACATGGATTTAGTCTATGTACGTGTGTGTGTGTGCATCTGTCTGTGCATGTGTTTGTCTTGCTGTGCGTGTGCTTGTCTTGCTGTGCATGTGGTTTGCGTCTAAGTGTGTGTTTGGGTCTCTCTCTGTGCATGTGTGCTAGCTGAGGAGTTCCTTCAGTGGAAGACTGAGACACCCTCAGTGCAAGAAGGAGCGCTACCGCAGGGTTTTTATCCCCACTGCTGTCAGTTAAGTCACGTTAAAATCACTAATGGCCTGCAGTAGGACTGAAGAACCAGCACTGCTATTGTACATAATTATATCCTGCACAGACAATAACGTTTAACATGTTGCACACTTCTGTATCTTACACAATCTGAGTGATTCTATCTGTGTCAAATGTCACATGTACATTCCTCCATCAGAGATCAATAAAGTTTATCTTATATTTGTAGGTCTGTGTGTATGTGTACGTTTGTACGTGTGTGTTTTTATGTCCATTAGTCTCAGTGTGCCTGTGAATCTGTGCATGTGTGGTTCTGTCTCTGTCTCTGTGTGTGTGTGTGCGTGAGACCTTTCAAAGCGTAGAAAGATGTTGTTGAGGTCGTCGTTGACGTGCAAAAGCTCCTCTGTGACAGACTCGTTGGAAACACAAGAGATGAGCTCCATTATTCTGTGCTGCATCGCTCTGCATGTCCGGTTCAACTCCTACAAACCAAGAGCAGGCTTTAGGAAAGTTTCGGGTAAAAACATATAGATTCCAAGATTGCCTGGAGAAGCTCATAGTCTGATGCGTCTTCCTGCCCCGGGACCATCTCTGTCAGCATCTCCGACATCACCTTGGTGTTTCCTCGCACAATGTCCAACTCACTGCGCAGCCTGCAGATCTGAAATCAATCAGGATGAGTCTTGGGAACATCAATGTGATCATAAAAATATTAGCCTTTGCATTGTAGAAAGGGTGTAGTATTCGCTTGGCTCAGTAAAGAAGTGAAAATTAGGAGTTAGAAAAGAATCAGCAAACAGAAAAAAGTAAAAGATTAAAAAGCAGTTGTAGATGTTCATTGTTGTGTTGGCTCCTACAGATAACAATGTAATGGATGTGTGGGAGAAGGGGCACCTGCTCGGGTGTAGGGTTGATGCTTCCAGCGGGTAGGATGTTGGGGGCCTCAACAGTGTTGTATGCAGGTGGAACAGAGTCAGACGCGGGCTGTGACACAGTGCTGTACTTCAGAAGAGTCGAGTCGCCATCTGGAGCTGAAGCCACCTTCAAACAATGAAACCATGAATGTAAGACAGTACATGGAGATTGAAGCGCTGTAATATTTTATAGCTATATCATACTCTATGAGGTGTGTGGATGGGGGACAGAGTCTCCATTTCTGAATTGGGGAACTCAATTCCTTTCCTCTTCATCTCCTCGTAAATCTGCACCACACCTGTGAGGTCAGGACTGCTCCTGAACGCGTCCGCCCAGGCCTGGTCAGAGAAAGAAGACATTGAAATGAAAGGGCAACTCATATTTTAAAAACTTTGTGTTTTGGTCTTGAAGCTTCATCCATTATAATGTTCTTGAGTGCTTCTTGCTTCCCCACTGTAATGTACTGTGCATGGCAACATTGAAATCTCCTCGCTGAATGAAGAATCATATCCTTGGGTATCTGCAGCTTTAGGAAGATTATCAGATATGAGAACGCACAGAGCGGGAGGAATAGACTGAACAAGCTGGTCAGGAGGGCCAGCGCCACTCTGGGCCGCTCCCTGGACTCTGTGGAGGACGTGAGGGACAGGAGGCCCCTGGACTCCACTGCACAGGACTGTAGAGGAGCTGAGGAGCTCTCTCAGGGGAAGACTGAGACACCTTCAGTGCAAGAAGGAGCTCTATCGCAGGGCCTTTATCCCCATCGCTGTCAGACTGTTTCTTGATTGCCACATTTTATTGTACATAATAATATCCTGTATTTAACATGTTTGCACATTTCTTTCTTTTACACAATCTTGAGTGTTTGTGACATGTACAATTCTCCTGTGTGAGATCAATAAAGTCTTATCTTATCTTAGACCAGTGGATCCCAAAATGACAGTGCAAGAGGAGCTGTTGGCCCGTTCAGTGTGCCCCCAGATGACCTATTCATCACAAACAAGACACAACTCTGTGGATAATGCCCCCCCCCCCCCTCGTCTGCACCCCTATTGGGGACTAGAGGTGCAACGGTTCATCACTGATCCGTGATCCGTTCGGTTCAACGTCTTCGGTTCGGTACAGACGTTATCCGCGGTTTGATTTATGAAAAAAAAGTTGTGCGCACGTTGTTCAGTCCACACACAGCGCGGTCATTGCGAGCGGAGGAACGGAGATGCTTGAAAGCCCCGCGTCATTTAAATCCCCAGTATGAGAGCATTTTGGCTTCACTGTAACTACACTGATAATTAATATTCGACAAAACTGTCACGATGTGTAAGCACTGTGGCACAAGAAAGACATGAGTGAAAAAAGCGTCTCAACGACCGCTTATTGTCGCGGCATTTAAGCAGCTCCTTTACGCACAGTCAGACCGGGCTAGAGTCAACTCTCCCGCGCATCCTCAGCTCAGCTCACGACTGACGCTTGGACGTCCCGCGGAACCTATAATAGATCCATGAGCAGAACCGCTCACTTCATCACCGCAGACTGGGAGATGAAAAGTCTGGCGCTGAAGACACGCCCCCTCTACGACAGTCACACTGTCACACAGCGCAGGTACTGACACAAGCAGCGGAGGAATGGAAGACAAACGCCCAGTACTAATATCCCAGTCACAACTGATAATGCCAAAAATTAAATAAATGCAGTGAATGAGGCTGGGCCCAGAATGGAGCGCCTCCTCGAATCAGGAAGGTGGTGTAATATATGAGAGTAAATATCCTCATAAAGTGCCTTCTTATGTTGCACTTTGTGTTGTTTTTCATTAATTATGTTAAATAGACATAATTGGATGGATGGAATATGCCTTCCATCCATCCATCCATTTCCTTCCCCTTAATTCATTTCTAGGTCAGGGGGGGCAGTCAGAGCAGGTGCCGAGTCCACATGAGCTGTGTTTATTAAAAAGACAACACTTTTTTTTTGAAAAATGAACCGAAAAATGAACCGAACCGTGGCCTCTGAACCGAGGTACGAACCGAACCGTGATTTTTTCAAACCGTTGCACCCCTATTGGGGACCCATTCGGAGGCTGCTCTTGCACAGTTTTCTTGATGGAAATAGGATCAGCCCTCATTGGCCTGGTGGTTACCTGAACCCAGCAGGTAACCAGAGCTACAACACCTGGGGCTCTGCCTGGAAACAACCACACACCTCATGCACTGCAGCACTGGGCAAACACACCACGGCACACCTGAAGGCTACACTTTACCCAGCCATTCAGCCATTACCTGAATCAAGGCAAGGACTTTATCTTGTACTATCGTGGGTGGATTGTTCTTGGGGGAGATAATCTTGACAAGAACTCCATCAATAAAATCCCGGCTTGTAACCAGGGCGTGGAAACGATGGCCACAGTTCTTTACACACGTCTCCAAAACCTACAAAAGAACCGAGATGCGTTATGATACAACTCTATTTATAGCCAGTCAGAAAATATGGGCTTACTGTCAATGTCAGCATCACTTCTCTGTAGTTCTTGTTGCCATTTAGCCTCTTCTTTACAGCTCTAATAGCGTCCTTTGGTCTGCAGATAGTCACCCACAAAAGTCATAATAAAAAGAATATAATCTGGGCAGTAAGAACAGGGTGCAATCAAAAGCAAGAATAGTGGAAACAGGTTGATCAACTAAATAGGTGAGGTCCGAGTGTTAGTTCAGCCATTGCCAGCTGAGAGAGTAGTGCAATTAAAGTAAACATGTCAAGATGCTCGTTTCTTTCCATAGTTTTAAGCTGATTAAAGGAGTTTCAAACTATATTCTGATCTCCATGCTTTGGCCAATCACAGAAAGCAAAGCAGTGCTGTTTGACATTTTTTTACAGAGAGGAGGAGCAGAGACAGATGTGAGACAACTCTGAATTAGATAATACCACCTAACATAGCATGTAACTCCATGATTATAAATGCAGCCAATCACAATGGCAGTGAAACTCAAAACGTCCTCCTATTGCTATTGGTTTGAGTGGAAAGGCCACTGTGTGTTCTGCTAACTAGTGAGCAATAATTAACCAGATAGCATGAGGTAGAGTGGGACAAAAAGCAGGGACATAAAAGATTCTGGTAATAACTGAAATATAACTTATAGTTTTATGTGATATTTGTCAAATGAGTCAAATTATGAAAACATGCATGGGGTGAATTGATAGCCAGCTATGGAGAGGCAGGTTTGACTTCACAAAGCTTTAACAGACAAATCCAAGGTTAAAAGACCAAAGAGATAAGAGACTGGGCCTTGCATAAACCACATCACACTATCACAGGCAGACAACCACGCCTTGTGTCGTTTGATGCTATACAATAAGGCAAATGGACACAACATTAGTACATTATGTCAATACTAATTTAAGTATTCACAATCTGGATACAAAAGAGAGTATGTTGTGTTGCCATTGAGCACACTACTCACCCGTCTTCTGTTTCGTTTATAATGTCACATATCTCCATGTTGAGGGTCCAGTCTTCACTTTGCAGGGATCCATCTGTAGCCCTTTCTGGAAGACATGATGGAGGTAGAGTTAAGGTCTTAAAAGCCTTTGCTATTAATAACAATGTGTATAATAGTAGTCGGTGACAGGCAGGGTAAAGTGACATGACAACACCAATAAAAAGTATGTAAACATAAAAAGATGAAACAATAGATGTTGAGGTGAGAGGGATAAAAAAAAGAAGGATGCTTGGACAAGGATTTTGCAGACAAGATGACAGGCTCTGACGAAGCTAGCGGCTAAAGGCTAACGCAGCATGAGCAGGACGAGCAGGAAACAGCCTTAACCACGGAACTATGAATGACATTTGCATCAATTTACAAGGACTGCCAAATGCAAAACAGGCGCGAACGTACCAATACAATGCCCAGCCGGAGTACTGAAAGGATTTCCCAAAAGGAACTCCATCTTGATCGACAACAAACAAGTCAGTCCATGGACCGAAGATGATACGTGAGGAAACGCGTCTCATGGCCCCGCCCACCACGAACTGCTATTGGTCAGAAATTAAGTCTTTGTGCAGCGATTGGGCCATACCGCCGTCAGTCATAATTAGTGTGGAGATTGTAAATACAGGCAGGCAAAGGTTGCTTCAACATAACTCCAGCGCTTTCGGCTGATATCTTCATTTTCAGAATGAAAAATATCCGATCACAGGTGCAAAGTAATAACACAGGTGAAGAGGTGTATGTATATTTATGAACAAAATATTACTACATTGAGGTTTTAGTTTTTTATTAGTCCTGATTTATTTGACGGTAACAATAGCCAACAATAGATGTATTGAATCACAGCTCAGGGTGTAATGTAGACACTGAACAGTAATGCATCATCCAGAATCTCACAAATGACTGGGTGGACTCAGACAAACATTTGGCAAATGTTATATATACAAGGACAAAAAATCAAAAAGATGTCTGGATCGAGTGTGTGTATGTGCAAGACAGTAAACATGGTGTGGTCTGGCCAGTCATTCGGCATTTAATCTTGTAAAAGTTTGCGCTTCACAGATGATGTTTCAGAAGACAACTGGACAAAAAGTGCTCCAGCAGCAGTCCGTGCTCTCACTTCATACATGTCATAATCATGAGCCCACTCCACATTCCCCCAGTGGCGGATCTAAAAGAGACAAGATAGACAGGTTTATATATGTACACATCCAGTATTATATATGTACACATCCAGTATTATATATGTACACATCCAGTATTAGGTATGTATTAGGTCTGTTATTTCCACCTGATACTCCTCTTCCAGTCTTGAGAGCAGCACCGCTTTTTCTGCAGAGAGATGTCTGTCGATGATAGCCATAGCCAGCACAACAGACTTCAGCTGAGTTATCACGTACTCCAACCCTGCATAAGGAAAGACATATTGTTTGAAATCTTTTGTGAGCTTCCAATAAATGTTCAAGCCAACGTAAGACCTTAAATCCCTGTATACAAATCTTTTGTTTACAATGTTTCAATAATGTGACAGGTTTATCTCAGGAAAACTGCCCAACAATATTTTTTTTGTAACCAGGATAACCCAAGTAGGATTATAGAATCTCTTTTTCAGGAGTCATGTTCCCAAGAGGAGCTTATTGTTAATTACAACCATTTAAATTAATATGTAGAAGAAAGCTCGAACAAATAAATATATACTTATATATAAATACCCTCTGAGGGAGGTAATTATATCATATTTTGTAATGAATGATCTTGAAAGTGTTTACCTGTCAGTGACCAAAAGTTGTAAGATTTGAGATGTTGTCTGAAAGCATCTTTAGTAGCTTCAGGAATTTCTGGACCCAAAATACTTGGTGATGAACCTATAGTGACATTATATCTGCAAAAGAAAAGAACATTACACTTTGATATTATTATGTTTTTCTGTTTATTCAGCCTGTCTTACTTATTTCCTCCATTCCTCTCCTAGATTCCGCCCATTTTTTAGCTGTTAAATCAGCTCACGTTCCCTTCTCTCACAATCTTCTGCCCTATCCACTTATGTAGTGGATAGGGCAGAAGAGATATACTTCTATCTCTTTGCATTGCTGGCTATACTGGACATGCTTACTCTTGACAATATATTGTTTATCAAGTTAAGATTAGAGATAGAACTCATCAATTCATCAGGAGGGAAAACCCCACTCCTCTCCTCCTCTGTTGAACTTGAATTTCCTCAAAATTTTCTGTAGAAAAGGCGGAATTGAGGAGACTCAAAGAGAGATGCGCTCACGATACTAAACAGTGCGTGGTGTGCTATAGTGCATACCTGTTCTCAATCCAGTGAAGCACAGGGTCCCACTCATTGATCTGCAGGTCTACTAAACCTTCAGGGTCTTCAACTCTGTAACTGCAGGATTTAATATGTCAGTAGAGCCACCACCCAAAGGTTCAATGAAGGTGAGAAAGTATTTGAAAATATTACCATACTGTGTCAGTCTCCAAAAACTTAAGTGCAGCACTGATCATTTGGTCTTCATCACGTTGTGTAGGATTGTCCAAAGCTGTATTGCAAAGAGTTGTCTGCAGAAAAGAAGGAACATTTGGAGAAACATATTATCACAAAACAAATCTCTTCCAATAAAAGATTTTACTAACAGTGAAGTTATCTAACCAGATGCATGCTGTAAAACTTGATAGCGTCTTTTTGAGCATCCCACTCAGTTGCAACAGCAATGGCCATGACTTCATTTGGTGTCGTGAACAACTTTCCTCCGGGAGTCTTGAGCTTCATTTTGTCCAAATTGATCTCGTACAAACCACCTACAAAACAAGAATTCAGGTGTGTTACAATATTCAACTAAAGCACTAATTCAGGATAGGCTACATGTTGATTCTTTTCAGGTTTTGTACTTACTATCATTCTGTGAGATGCTGACATTTTGATAAAACCGTTTCTTTTCTAAAAATAAAAAAAAAGACATGTCTCAGAAAATGTAGATATGAGATGTTGAGAGAAAAGATCTTACCAGCTGCAGTAGAGTAGTTCACACCAAAGTGATGCTGTTTGTTTGGAAAGCGTTTACAGTGCAGGAGACTATTCCCAAGTCCAATATTTATTCTTAGCACAGTCCGCAACATTTTGGAATAAAAGCATTGAATCTATCTAAACCAAAGCAAATGTTGCGTCCGTGCACAGGCCATGGATCGATAATAAAAACAGTTTGTGATCAGCGTGTATGCAAGTCAAACCCTGCATGTGACCTTCCCTGTATGACAGAATAGCATTGGACTAACATCTTCTTCTTCTTTATTTATTTCCGGTAGGCTGTATACTATATAAATCTAATACTGCCCTCTTCTGTTCAGGTTGATACTACATTATTACACACACTGGCACAAACTTGTGGAGAGAAGGAAGGATACAACTGCTTTGTCGATCAAACGCGAATTCTTTACCGAGGAAAATATAGATTTTATTGAAAGTACTGCTAATCCAAGATCTGACAGCTGCTTGTACAAAATCTGTCTTTCTGTTGAGTATAGAGCGCAAAAACAATAACACATGAGGCACCGTTTCAGGTTGACCACACTGACATAACCATCACGATGCTTGTCAATGATCTTCAAAAATATGCTGCTAGCCCACAATGCCACAGCTTCAATCTAACAATCTTTACCTGATTTGCCCCTAGATATCCACACAGGCCTAATATTTTGCACCAGAAGCTGAGAATTAAAATAATGCCTCTTTCTCTCTTTCACCCACACTTTTTGCCACTGATTTTACACAAAACTTGTTATGATACTTTTACACTCGAATTTTCCCAAACAGATTTTATACTCTGTTTCCTCGCACATAAGAGACTGCTTAGCCAGGGTGTCAGCTCTGCTTATTCCCCACTATACCTGAATTCAACTAACATTGTTGGAAATGTAGTTTTTAACGCAATGCACACGATGGTTCTAGCCTCACAAAAAACTACACTAAAAATATCGCACTTGCTTCCGCTTGTAAAACCAATCATCGCCTGGAGTGTTGCGACGTGCATTCTCTGGGCCAATCAGAAGAGCGGATACTCACGCACGTAGCGCCGCGTAGCTCTTACTTTCCTGGGAGGCTGGAGCTGATGAACTAAACAGGAGTGAAATCACGCTCCTTTTGGATGTCGTTGGAGCCCGTCAGTGATTTCTACCTTGGTGTAGACGCCCACGGAGCCTGGACTTCACACGGCTGTTGACCAGGGTCCGTGCCCGAGCTGCAGAGCGGGAGCCATGCCTGTCCCCGCTGGATACGTGAGCGAGTCCCCCGCTGCGGCCTTCGTATCCTCGGCCTCGCTTATCCCCCCTCCCCCGATCAACACCCAGCAGCCCGGGGTCGTCACTTCGCTGCTTTACAGTGGATCCAAGTTCAGGGGGCACCAAAAGAGCAAAGGAAATTCTTATGACGTGGAAGTAGTGTTGCAGGTAAACCATTGGATCCACGTTTGCAGTGTCCAGGCGAGCTGTCAGTGGCTTTGGCGATCTGTCAAACCGCGCTGCAGATTGACAGCTGGGAAATCAATGAGCGCTGGCCTGTGCAAGTGGCGTTTGTTGTGTTGTTTACGACTTTTTGACAGCCCTTTTTGAGTTAAACGCGTTTTTTGTGCGTAAAAGGCCAACAGGCATTTGAATGCTTATGCAAGCAATAACCGAGAACACGCCATATTTTATATTTCTCAATATTGCACCCCTTATTTTACTTCATAGGGTAATAACAGTCGAACGATCAAAAGTGTCATAAAACATGTAATAATGTAAGCAATTTGCCTGTTTCTCATGTGTAGCATGTGACTATGGAAGACTCCTACTTGTGTGGCTACCTGAAGATCAAGGGTCTAACAGAGGTGAGGCTTAGGGTACTTAATGTACTATCAAGAACACACACATGAGTCAATTGGCCTTTTTCACTGACTACTGTCAGAGTCCATCACATACCAGTAATAGTAATTGCCTTTATAATGAATTCTCATTATAACCATTTTAATGGCTACTACGATATGATCCTTATGTAGACATATCATTACACATTCTATCTTCTAGGAATATCCTACGTTGACCACATTCTTTGCCGGGGAAATCATCAGCAGAAAGCGCCCGTTTCTCACAAGGAAATGGGATGCTGATGAAGACGTGGACAGAAAACACTGGGTAGGTTCACTCATCTTTACTGTTGATTATGTGGATAATATTTCATTGCATTTACATTTTTTGTCTCATCCAGGGAAAGTTTCAAGCTTTTTACCAGTACGCAAAGACATTCAACTCGGATGATTTTGACTATGAGGATCTGAAAAACTCTGATTATATTTTCATGCGGTGGAAGGTATTAACCTCAGTCTAACCTCATGTATATGTTTCTTTTCACTGAATACTGCCACTAATGTTTGGCCTCTCTCTCCAGGAGCAGTTTCTTGTGCCTGACCACACAATTAAGGACATTAGTGGAGCTTCGTTTGCAGGATTTTACTACATTTGCTTCCAGAAATCCACAGCAACAATTGAGGGCTACTATTATCACAGAAGCTCGGAATGGTAACGCTTGTTGTGCATGTCATGTGTTTCACCTCCCAAAACAAGAGGAATACCTTGTTGATTGTTGTACAAACTTCTTTAAATGTCTTACTTACTTACTTACTTCTTAGGGTTACCAATAAATATTCCAGGTCTTAATGCTCATAGACAAAGGCAAAGGTTTGTCAAGCCTGGAATATAGTAACCTTGGTACAAATGTTGAAGTGACTGCTTGTCCTGTTGCCATGAGACCCGGGATCTGATTCCTTAAGAGTCTTTCATGACAAGAAAACAGTTCCAGCCCTTTTAATGAGAGCAAGTGAAGGTCATGCCATACATTTTTAATTGCTAAGTAAAATGCAAACCTTGAAGCATGCAAAATGGAAATACCATCGGGCCTTTTCGCGCTTAATTCCCAAGTAAGCCACTTTTAGTAAATGAGGGCTAAATACTTATTACTGAAACCACCAACATGATCTGCCTGTGTATGACGGTGTGCTTGTTTGGAGGTTTCACATGTCCTCAAATGAAGATTTTTTTCCCTTATTGGTTCATTTAAAGTGAACTCGGGTTTACTTGGAACTGAAGTGTGAACATACCTTTACTTTCTACTAGTTTACTTCCCAAAATAGTTCTTAGTTGCTAGATCCAATTGCATGTTAATGATATATTTTAGAACCAAATAGCCTTCAAAACTCCATCATTGTTTAATTAGTCTCCATATTTATGTTGGGTATTAGGGAGAAATATCTAAATTTCTATAGTATGTTTATAAAAGTTCAAAATAGATTACAATTCCTTTGCTTCAATTATTAATCAACACTTATAAGTATACTACATATATTTGAATATATATATATATATATATAACCTGAGGACATTTTTCCAAATTCTGATTCTGATTTGATTGGACCGCCACACCCCACATCACCCTCTGCTTCTCTCCCCGGGCCGCTGCAGGTACCAGTCGTTGAACCTCACCCATCTCCCCGAACACAGCGCGGCCATCTACGAGTTCCGGTGACCCCGGTGCCCCGTGCTGAGCATCTGTGAGTGGACTGAGGTTTGGAGCTGAGCAGGGGTCCGCACAAGAAGCTACAGAGGAAACTACCGAGAGGAACGGGCAGAAAGGACTTTTTTTGTTTTTTGGCTTTAAACGAGTGCAAACAGTCTCATGTTGGCGCTTGGACACAGGCCGGGGACAGTGAAAGAATGTATGCAAAAGTGAAAAGGGAATTTTCATATCCTTTTGGAGAACACACAACCAGCTGCAAAGACTGGGTGCAGTTTTCGTAATTTCTCCTTCTTTTTTTTTAAAACACAGTGCTTGGCAAGTTATTTTAAGACACTTTTTTTAAGCTGCTTGCTTGAAAACTTTACAACAAGGATTTGACTGAGGAATCTTCCCCGCGATCAACATACTAGTGTGGGAATGAACGCTTTTTTATGTGCACGAAGTTTTTCAGGTTTCAGATAGGAGCTTTAAGTAGCTACTAAGCTATATGACAGTATTTTTATGTGTGAGATGGCTATGGCAGGAGGACTTTTTTCTTTCACTATTTGACTCCTAAGTAACGGTCAATGAGTGGCACTTTGAAAGACAGACGTATGCGTTCAGTTTTGAATTGGTTGGGAGATGTTTTATTGATATCCCACTTGACTGCTGTGGATTCATTTCAGTTTTCAAATATTTGCACAAGAGGTTTTTTAACAAGTTACCCAGTTATGAAGCTTCGATATGATAACACTTTTATGTGAACCCCAGATTGAAAGAAAAAGACAAAAAAAGTTGGGATTTTTCATTTTTATCTTGTGTTTTTAAATTATCCCCTGTTCTTCATTGTTTGACCCTCGACTATGCAACGATTCCCAGGTACTCAGACTTTTCAGAGTGTAAAATCTATCCCTAGAGTCTATCCAGAATGATCTATCAACATATTTTTGTTAAATTGCCTATTCAAGATCTTCCCTGAATCACGTTCCCTTTCCATGTGATGGTGCCATGTTTTTAAAGTCTATCAGAGATGTATTATACGGTAGAAAAGTTACTGCCAGAGATAAAAAGTTGTGGATATGATTGATGGGTGATTGTAAAGAATGGCTTGGAATAAAAAAAAAGAGATCTTATCAGAAGAACGGTGTACTTTTTAACACTAAATGAACTCAAACTGTGAGATCAGGATGGAATGCATAATTACAATATTGTCAAGCAGCCATGAGACTCTACAATGGCCTCTGCTGGTTCATTGCTTTGGCTCTTGGTGCAAAAATTTATTCAAAAATAACATAAAGCATGAATTTAAAAAAAACGAAATCCATATAACATTTCCTAAAATAACCACTATATACAAGTGCACTAAGTACACACAATAGACATGGCAGTAAAGTGACGGTCATAAAGGCAGGGGACAGTGATAAGGCAGAAAACTGTTCTCATGGCGCGAGGTACTGGTCCAGATGGGCTGTAGCCTCCTGTGTGAGAGGAGTGGTTGGAATGGTGCAGGTGATCCCAGGAACCACACTGTGATGGAGGGGGTGAGGATGGACTCGATCATGGCTGCGTAGAACTGCACCAACATCTGTGCAGGCAGCTTCGCTTTAAGTACATCCTCTGCTGGGCCTTCTTGATGAGGGAGCTGATGGTCGGGTCCCACTTGAGGTCCTGGGTGATGGTGGTGCCCAGGAAACGGAAGGACTCCACAGAGGTGATGGGGGAGTCCACCAGGGGGTGCGGGGGGACAGTGCTCTTCCTGAAGTCCACAATCATCTCCATTGTCTTCTGGGCGTTCAGCTCCAGGTTGTTACCACTGCACCAGGACACCAGCCGGTCCACCTCCCTCCTGTAGGAGACACCAGGACACCAGCCGGTCCACCTCCTCCTGTAGGAGACACCAGGACACCAGCCGGTCCACCTCCTCCTGTAGGAGACACCAGGACACCAGCCGGTCCACCTCCTCCTGTAGGAGACACCAGGACACCAGCCGGTCCACCTCCTCCTGTAGGAGACACACCAGTGAGGAGGTGGACCAATGAGGGTCTCACTAGCACAATATCTCAGTGTGGTTATTTGAGGACAAAGGGGACAACCAACAAAATACACATCTTCAACCAATTTGTTTTTTCTATCTTTTTATGACGCTGAAAAAGTACATCCATTGTGATAGGACTGGGACTGGGGTTTTAGATCCAGGTCTGAGGCTGAAGACTACAGATTACAAGACTATTTCTGTTGAGCCTTGAGGAAAATGACAAACGATGCAGAGGTCTGCGATCGTGTCACAGCAGAAGACTTTTTTTAATTGTTGGTAAAAAGACACGACCAAAGCTTTTACAGCATGTATGTGATCTTTATACCAGAAGCATCAAGCACCGAGCATCTGCAACTGCCAATACTTATACTGTCCTGATGAGTTCAACTTTAACAATAGTTGCTTCAAAAGTGTCATAAAAGATCCATAGCCTTAACAAATGTAATGCTGATTCTTATTTACAAAAAACATTGGACATGATATTCAAGTCCTTTGTCATAATCGATTGCATTTAAAGAAAATATTCCACAGATACCTTTCAGGCAGGTACAGCTGACATCAGTATTGCCCAATAATAAGTGTGTTCTTTATTGATATTAGTGCATTTTACTTAATAGACTAATTAAATAAAACATGCATAAATTCAATCTTGAGTATCCGACTTGTTTTGTTTCATAAATATTTTTATTGTCTCAACAGATTAGAAACAGACATGCTATCTTTTACATAATGAGATTTAATTGGCTGAGTAAGGGCGGCCCTCCTTTCCTTTTTCTGTCTGAAAAAGCAGATTCTATATCTACAGCCTGCCTGCCCATGGGAGAAAACCCCTCTCTCAAGCTGAGGTTTCTCACTTTTTTCCCACTGGATTTTAGATTGGTTCCTTCCCGAGATACATTGCCGATATAAAATCATATACTTTTCAGATGTTTTATTTCTGCCTGAGGGTGGCAGCAGAAGCATGTTTGTCTGTGGAATAGTTGGTCAGAATGGATTTAGTTCAAGGTAAATATTTAAACATTTATAATAAAGTCTAACCACATCAAAAGAATGATTCAACAAACATCAATTCAACTTGAAGGACAAAAATCATTCATAAATCATCCTTTTGATTTTTTATCAAAAAGTCAATATTAAAAATTCTCCACACTTATTTTTTCTTCAAGTATAATGACAATTTATTCTTGTATAGCCGTATACCACAACAGCAGTCCTCTCAGAGGACTTAACAAAACCATTGAAATCACCAACACAGATCAGAGAATCAACAGGTAAGACACAGAAAATACAAATATGTATTGGTCCATACGAAGAACAATGTCCATGAATGTTGATAAATGTTGTAGAATGTTCAAGTGTCCTGGATCATCACAGTCCTTTTTGTTAGACACTAACTGAGGACCCTCCTGCATCAGAGGAAAAACTCTAAATAAAAAACCCAGTGCGAAAAAAGTGAGAAACCTCGGAGAGAGCCACACGGATCCACTCCACACGGACGGACGGGCTGTAGATCCAGGACTCAGACTGTAGCACGAGGACTGAGGCTATATTGGTATTGTATTTTCTATATTTAGTTTGGACTGAACCTAAACTGGACATAATATCAAGGCTGAGTATCGGATCATATTTATCATTGATGACAGTCGTGGTTGTTTTCTTAATAGAATTAGCTTTAAAAAATGTATACCATGTGTTGGGATGAATTTCCTGTCATTCACTGCCCTCCTTGGGGGGCCCGCATTGTCTGCTGTCTGGCCCTCCTTTCTGACCAATCAAATGTGACCTACGGAGGGGTCGGCTTAATGCGAACTCCCTCTCTGTCTGGTCAATCGACCTAATAAATCAACATCATGTATCAGAGGCCTCTGTGTGAGTCAGTCTCTAATGATCTCTGATGATCACTGACTGATACCAACAGGGCCACATGTTTGTCCTTTGGGACACTTTGATCCATTCAAATATGTGATAAAAATAACAAATGTTTTCTTATAAGTAGATTCTTAACTGTATTAAATTAGGACTAATGCTTCTTTCAACAATAGAGAACGAAGCATAACATTAAAATATTTCAGATATGCCATGAGCTTGGATTCACTTCGAGTGAAGTCACAGAAGCTTGATTTAATGATGTGATGATATGTTTGTCAGGAGGAAATGGAACCAGCTTTTATTGAGTTGTAAAATTATCGTGTTGCATTTTTTGTAAGGTTGCATCCTTGAGGAGTATTTATAAAAAATATATTGCATATATGATAGATAATTATAATATAATTATATAGCTACAGGAAGTTCTGCATATGCTGTGTTACAACAGTCTCAAATACCCTATAATAAACATGTTGTTGAGATATATTTTAAAGCTTTTTCAACCATGACGGTGGTGGAGTCAGAGGCATTTTGTCCTCTCAGCAAGAAAGTTCTGGGTTTGATTCTAAGTCAAGCAAGCGGGTTGCACTAGAGCAGAGGTGTCCAAACTTTTTACTGAGAGGGCCACTTTAGTTCACCAGACTAGTCCAGGTACCAACATCGCGGACTGAAAAACTGGCACCGGGCTGTTCTGAGCTTTATGACGATCTATAACAGAGCTGAAGTTGGCTGAATGACAAATGTTTACCATCTCACCAGCTACATTAACACCATTACTACGAATAACTACTTTGGGTTAGCAAGGCAGAGGGCCACAAAAAATGACACTGAGGGCCGCAATATGCCCCTGGGCCTGAGTTTGGACACGACTGCACTAGAGCCATTGCAGAATGGGTCAAATGGAAACATTGACATTGGGCTTCCATAAAATGCCTCAATGACTTTGTTGTCACTCAAGTTTTTATTGATTGTTAAATTTCATAAACAAAGTGAAAAAAACACTGAGTGTATTTATAACTGCTGAATGAGTAAGTCAATTACAATTGGACATAACGCCACGGTCCCAATTTTATCAAAACCCTTTTATCAAACCAAGTCACTGAAGAAGCAGCTGTTCCTCCAAAGAATG